TATTTATATTTAGTTTTAAACTTCTATGATATAAAAAATAAAATTATACTATATTAATATAAATATATATATTTTCCTATAATATATAAAAAAATAAATAAATATCTATAAAAAATATTATATATAAAATTAAAAATATTATATTAAATAAATAGATTATATTTTTTTATTCTCAATAAAATAAATTATAGCATATTCTTTTATAATTTTTATGATATTTCTAAAGTATAAAAATAAAGTTTAATAATTATATATATTTTTTAATAATACTAAAGTAAATCTATTAATGTGATTAATTTCTAAATTTATATATTAGATATAATATTTTGATTTTAAAACTTATTTAATAATATAAAGTGTAAATGAACATCTTACATCTTATATTGCAAGTATACTTCTACTAACTTTAAATCAAGTAGAGTAAAGTTTTTTTTATTGTAGATATATCACATTATATTGTCTTGTGTTATAAAACTAGTATTTCAAGAAGTACGTCTGTTAAAATTTGAATGAATTTTACAAAGGTAGAAGGGATGTAACTTCTAAATTATGTTACATTAAAAATTCACAAATTTTAATATGGCTGTTAGTAAAAAATCTTTTTATAATAAGTACAAGTGCTATTGATACTAGAAGATAAAGTATTCTAAATATAATTATATAAATTTATTAATGAACAAAAATATAGAAAATTTATAATTTAAATGTGATAAATATGAATTTTCTTGAAAATATACTATAATCATGATACAAAAAAATATAAAATATAAAATATCTATTTTTATATTATAAAAAAAAAAAAAAAAAAAAAAAACCCATTGTTTTATATTTTTCTTCAAATTCAAAGTTTGAGAAAAAAATTATATTTTTTCATATATAAAAATTGAATTATTTCTTCAAAAAAAAATTTTACATAAAAAATTCCGTAATATATATATATATATATATATATATATATATATATATATACACGCACACACACACACACACACTTAATTTTAGGAATTTATTAAAATTCTTAGATATTATGCTTATTAAAAAAATAATATACATTATGCATATATATATATATATATATATATGCTTATTCTAAAAATAATTATATATTATAATATATTTAAATACTTAGATACATATGCATATATATATATATATATATATATATTCACTACTATAGATTGTATCACAAAATTATAAAATTAAAATAAATAATATTTATTTTATATATTTCATATTAAAAAAAATAATAATTTTAATCAAAATAATGATAATTCACAATAGAAAGAAAAAAAAAAAAAGTTAATGAATAAGTTATCATGTGTAATTGTACTTACAATTGAAGATTAAAAATATCAATAATAATTAATTACAAACTCACCCATAATTATTAAGAATTAATAAAAAATATATATGCAACTATGGCCAAAATATATGCACTGCTAATTAAGATATATCAATGTCATTTATAAGATTTAAAAGCGGTAATAATACCAATGATTTTTTTATGGTATGTCTTTCTTTCTTGGTTCTAATTATTATGCAAGATAGTATTTTATTTATAAGCACTAAAAAGAATTATAATAATTGGTCTTAAATAATCTGAATTTATAATAAAAGAGAATTACATAGAAATATTTAGAATTAAAGATATAAGTCTTTTATCATAATCTTATTTATTAAAATATTATTCTTCATAAGTAGTATTCTATTAAAACTTGGTTTTTATAATTATTCTAAAGTTGTGTTGAAGAACCATACTTTGCCATCTTTTACTTTTGATAAAAATTTTAAAATCAAAGTAGCAACATAAACATTATAAATAGTACATTACAAGATTGTTGAGACTAACTAGTACAAGACATGACTTAAAACCCAAAAAAAAAAAAAAAAAAAAAAAAAAAACCATACATAGAAGCAAAATGATTTTTTATTTTAAACCTAAAGATTATTTTATTACAATGTCATATTGAAAAAAACATCAATTTTCATAAGTTGCACTAGATTTAAATCTATTTTTAAATTACTACAAAATTATGTGAAAGTGCTATACTTAGTTATCTTGAATAATTTTTTTAAATATATAAATATTATATGTCATAATATAATAGCTATAGTAAATTTTAGATCTTAACAACATAAAGAAATTCTTTAATATAAAGAAAGCAATCCTTATAAGACTTTAACAACATTTAATTTCAAAGATCATGCATTCAACTTCTACTACCTATATTGTAATATGTATTAAAGTATATTAAAAATAATAAAAATATGATTTTAAATTTTAAATATGTTAGTATAAACAATCTTAGATATAGACTTTAACAAATTATATTAAAATATTAAAGTATTTAAAATATAACTTTAAGTTATTAATACAACTATAGTTTCAAATGCCCATATATAATTACTTTATTACTTAATCTTATTGCTCAAGAATTAAAATGCAATAGATTAGATATACTTACCTCCACTTTAACAAGCTTACAAATATTGAAAGAGGTAATGCTATTTAAAATACAAATTCTGATTTTATCATTGATTCCAACATTACATTGAATTTTACTAATTTTATATGCTTAAGCACTATTTTTACTCATAAAATCATCTTTTGTTTATTACAACAACAAGATTTAGTTATTAATAGCAATGTACATCTAGAATACTCTATTACACAACTTCCTTTGATAGAGAAGTAATATAGAAGTCTAGTAACATTAACAATACCAACATTAATATGTGATAAATTTTAATACCTACAATATAAATAGATTATTAATCTTCCATCCTCTATGTTGTCCAAATTTTATTATTATTATTATTATTATTATTTTTGTTTGTTAAAGATGAAAAGAAAACTACACCATTTCTAAGGCATCAACAATACATTTATCCACCTAATCTTGATTGGTACTTGTATATTTTCTTAAAATGTTTTTCTCATACTCTATCACCGCCTAAGTCTGTATGTATGTGAATAATCACACACACATATATATATATATATATACGAGCACACACAATCACGTGAAGCAAAGACTCTGGACGATGGAGGGTGCCGTCACAGATCATGGCCAAATAGAAAGGCATCCAGGACCCGCCATAGCCACTATCCTTAAGGATGGATGCATCCTGCGTCGATGCAGCGCAATGCCTTTAGAGAGGGAGGAAGATGATTCGGATTGGCATCACTCAGAGAGCCATCCATGGAGTCCTTCTCTTCGTCGTGTCAGTTTGTCTTGCTTCCAAAATAAATGCTGCTGCTACAGATACCAATTGGGCCCATGGCTAGCATACATAACCTTTATGTGGCTTGTGGGAAGTGTGGGCTTTCGCTGATGGGGTTGTGTGGTGTCAGCTTTGGAGTCTGCCTTGCTTCTGCTCTCTGGTGAGACTTTTTCGTCTCTGTCGACAGCTTCGCGCAGCTCATGTCTATGTCCCCGGCCAGGTCTTAACGATTACCTGATTGACTAACCTTATCTGGCTGCAATTACGCTGAAGCCAACCTTCACTTCCAGAACGGGTGCATGGTTACTCGGATGCTTGACCTGCAGTGGAGCTCGAGATCTTCGCTATGGTAAACTAGTCGTAAATGCCAGTCTCCAGCTCCAATGATTCCAAATTTATGAGCTGATGTGGCTGTACCACCGACCATCTTTCAGCGAGAAGCACACCGCGTCTTTTTTCCTCCCGAATGCTTTTCAGCAGCACTCAATTTAAAATTATAATGCTGCGGAAATTTTCGTTATGAGATCGGTACAAATGCCGCGTAGGAATTTTATAGCACTTTTAGGTTGATTAAGCGACTGGGGTTAGTAGCTTCTGTTGTCCCTTTCTTAATGTTGGCTTGAGACTAAGTGATGGAGCCCATGTGAGCACAAGCACTAAAGGATATTCGAAATTAACTCGTGGTCGGTGAAGTAAGAATGTGACGTAGTCCGAAGTTTTCCTCACTGAAGGATGATCCATGAGAACTTTGCGAAGCTGGTGTTAACGATTCCAGCACCCACTAGCTCAACAACTAGCTTTGCAAAAATTTGAATACCCTGCGATTGAAGTAAAACAACCTTTGTGTGAAACTTATCCGGTTGTCAGAAATTTGCCGCAACATTTTTGAAGCTTTTACGATATATCGCTCCTACTTCCTTGAAAGGTAATTGCAGATGAACTACTACCCCGATGAACTGGGTTGTGTAAAGGTTCAAGTTTTGCGTAATCGAGCCAAGTTCTGGTGATGATTTTGTTAAATGCACCATTTCCAAAAGTTGACCTGCGAAGCCTCCAGTTGACCCAATCGACACAAGTTTAGACTCTGGATCGCGGAATCGCATCCAGAATATGATCCCACATGCAACCTACCCTGCCATCGTCCGAAACTCCAGCTAGGATGTCAGTCATGCCCCAGCGCATCGTCTTTATGATCCTCTACCACATTTGGACTTTCAAGACCTGCCAATGAAATTTCCCCACAGCTGCCAACGTGGTCCGTCTCCATTAGTGCCTCAACCATGATGCTGAGCCTCTGCAGCATTGTGCAACACATTCAATCAGTTAACAATCACCAAGGGTGAGGATAGCAGTGCTGGGCTGCTGATTATCTCACAGACCTGACGCCTGATCCAATCGGAATCCAAAAGTGCGCACAAGTCAATGACGCTGTAGTACTTGCGTGACGCGGAGAAAGAAGTGGTACAGGGGCGGTGAATCACCGATAGATTATTGTCCACAGTGCTATTCTAGTTGGGGCGAGATAGAAGCGTCGACAGTTGCTGAAGTAGCAGAAGAGCATGATGATGATAATGGAGTACAAATCATTGTCACAGGCGACAACAGTCTGGTGGACTTCATAAAGACTAACTTGTTTTTTATTTCTTTTTTTTCCTCCGCAACGCGGTTGCCCATCAACGTACTGCTGACGGGTAAATCTTGGCCATTGATGGGATTTCTTAAAGTGTGACTGCATCCCACCGCCTTCCGCCTTTGGGGCTGTATATTAAGAACTCGGAATGCTCCCATTCCGCATCGATCACTGACCATCTCCGTCGTCCTCACCCATGGCTCGACACACCCTCCTCCGGACGGTCTCGCTATTCCTCGCATTGTTCATGGTTTCCCAGTTATGTCTAGTTCAGCCAGCTTTGGCAAGGAAGCTTTCTGAGAAGAAAGATCCAGCTTCTGCGGTGAGTTTACTCAGTCTCTGCTTGAAACTGTGTCAGGATTTTTCTAGCTCGATATGTTTCTGATGCGATCAGACCAAAGTGCTTAGATAATGTCTTCACATGGCCTAGATGTTAAGTTGAGCAGCCCTCGAGTCGACGATTTGATTGCATGTATGCAGCGCGCCTGAAATAATGATTATGGCTGATGGCATTTGCCGGTTCTTTACCCCAGGATACCAAGCACACACAAAACTATGACGATGCTTACAACCCCGGTGGTTATGGGAATGGAAACGGCAATAGTTATGGATGGGGGAACGGAAGTGGGCGTGGGCGTGGATCTGGCAGTGGTGGCGGTGGAGGGGGAGGAGGTGGAGGTGGAGGTGGAGGCGGTGGCGGTGGTGGTGGAGGTGGTGGAGGCGGGGGTGGTGGTGGTGGAGGAGGCGGCGGCGGCGGCGGCGGCGGGGGCAACTAAATGCCCAAGGTAATTTTCTCATCCCTGCATTTTCTGCACAATGCTGCCCATGTGTGCGGAAGGACCTGCTCCAGCTGAGCTCCTCAGTTCTCAAGCAGTATACCACGCTCAGTCTGTTCCTGGAATCTGTTAGCTTTCTTTACTTAGAATATTGGTGAGGGTGAAAAGTTGATGACATAGTTTATAAATGGTGACCGACCGTGATGAACTCTAAGCATGACTGCTGCAGTGTTTGCTATGGCAGAGGTCCACTGCAACACCAGGGGATTCAACTCCTGCGGACGATTTCATCATGAAGCTGGGAATTAGAGACTTGGACTGCAGGTTCAATCGAATATGTGACTCTCCTAGCAGCTACATATATTAGACTGTTTCTAGTGAAATGTTATGATAACTTTTGTTCAATTGTAGGAGTTGTGCGCTGATCTGCGTGGGACACTTACTTTGATAGCTTCTATTAGTTAGCGCTTCGTGATGTCGAATGATAATGTGTGAAATAAAGAAACGTACCTGTTCGGACTGCGGCCATGGCATTCTCGGTGGTTGTAGATTTTCTTCTATAAGCTGTATCCAACTCTTTTTTCGAGCCTCTGTTTATAATGAATCTATACCAACTCTGAAGACGGTACCACTGAGAATTTCCTGTTTCATTTTCTCTGATATGAAATTCGTTGGAATATTGTTTGCAATATCAAGATCACGTGCATTGTCCTAGGAATATTGCTTAACATCTGCTTCGATCTAATATATGTAGCTTTCTGTGATCTCGTCGTTGTAGTCTTGTTTCAGAGACTGTGACGGGGGGATAAAAATAAAAACTAAAAAAATAAAAAAAATTCTGTGAATCAGCGAACTATGAATCATGAACTACGTCATTCGTCGCAGCCTCGCTGCTCTGATAAATTCTTCCCTCTTGAAAGTCCATGAGAACTGTTGTCGTGATCACTATGTACACAATTCTGCCATGATTGTCCATCGCTCTTGAATAAATGTTGAACCAAAAGTACTCCACGACAGGACAATGCTCTTGATCTTGATAAATTCTCAGAAAAACCTTGGTACATTGCCCTAATTAGCCGCTGGAAGCCACACTGCGGGTTTGTAATGTTGCATTGAAAACGGAGAAGGTGACAAGCAGCACGACGCCGGACTTTCCAATCATACATGTCATGACCACCTGGTTCAATATGACTTACATTCACGTTGTTTCAGCATCGTAGAACTTTTAATAGGAAACTGTTATGTGTCTCGACACTGGGCATTCTTTTCCCTTTTATTCTATGTAGACGACCATGGTAAATACTGGGTTGACACTGCTGCCAGAGATTTGGCATACACCGACATGAAATGAATGCGAGGTGGGAAAAAGGATCACTCACGGTTGAGTTGCCATGGATTGAACGAATGTCGCACATGGCAGGCCAACGGAATTTTATGAATAGTTTTAGTTAGTTTTAGCTTCAAAGGTTCGAGTTTCTGAAAACCTTCGTGGAGGCGACCACTGCACTTTCAATTTTCAGCAGCAGTAGCAAAATTTGGAGTCTATACTTCCGTATGCATCAGAAAAGAGTTATATGCTATCACTAGAGACGTAGATAATGATGCATGTCACGGTCGACCATATTCCTCTTAGAGAACGATTCATCATCAGCCACGCCGTAATTCTCATCGCAAGAATTTTCCAGTAATGTGTAAGAAATGACTGGAGGTAATATGCGGTGTACCGCCAAGAACTTGCAGATGGTTACCCGTCTGGTTAAATAACTGTGCACATTATTAATCCGCAAAAGCAGCTCCCCCAGATCCAGAATTGTCATTTGACATTCATAAGGTCTGGCAAGATGTTTACAATTGCCATAATAATGAAATAGGGGAAAAAAATTAAATTACTCGAGCTGTGTGAAAAATTATCTTCTCAATGCCAATCATCTCTTCGTAAAAGGTTTTCTTAGTCGTGGTGTTGCTGAAGAAATCTCAGATTCCTAATCCTCAATGGAAACATTCAGATCATTTCATGCTCTTGCTACTCAATCGCTGGCGCCACCTGTGAGCGAGACCAAAGAATCCTCGAAGTAGGTGATTTGCTCCTGTGTAACACGTAAATTTATTCCACATTAATATAACAACACGCGAAATTCATGTCTGTATGCAAAACCAATGAAGCGGGCACGATGTTGCTGTAAACAAATAATGCTGCCATTGTCCGTGCATCTGGACAACATTTCTGCTCAGTGGTAGGACAATCTAAAATCGCTCGCTCGACTTCCGAAAGCTACAACTCAAAATTACAATACAAGGCATTGAGATGCACCGAACCACGCAACTATTGGACCAGATTCACGTCGAATTACAACATAACTTCGGTAAACTTGACGATAAGAAATTAGTAATTTCAAGACAAAACCAACTCGTGAAAACGGCGACGAAATCTCCCCCCTCTTCCAAACTTGTGCTTCCCGGGCTGAACTTTTGGTATTTCGAAGGCAAAGGCACAATAATTCGAAGAGCGGCAATGAGTGCCACCAACCTTGAAGCATGGTGCGAGATGCGTCAATGCCATCAGCATCTCGGGGGTGTGTACACACGGGAATGTGCGTGGAGCATAATCTTCAGGATTTTCGGGAATGATGAAGAAGCGGTGGCATCACACTGAGACACCAGTACCAGGAGTAGCAGCAGCAATAGAGACAGCTCGCTTGATGACTGCGACGTTGGTGGGAAGACCAGGGTTGTCCTGCATGACTTTGAGTTCCACGTGGGAATCCTACGTGGCATCCGCACCCTCTAGAAGAGTATGGCCTTGTTGACTAGTTCAGGAATGTTTTTGGGACAATGACTTCGGGAGATGTTCATGAGACAAGGTGTCTTTGATGGGCATGTTTTTATTTTTGAAAAAAAGTAATTAGAGATTCTTCATGATTTTTTAAAAATTACTTGTATTATTGGCTTTTACTTTTCTTTTCTGATTTCTCTATTAGAACATAAATGGAAGTTTTATGAAAATCCCTTCTAGCAATAAATAGTTTTGGTAATTTAATTTTCTAGATGTGATTTTCAATGTCAAATTCAAGTTGTGATCTCATTGTTTTTGAACTAAAATTGTGATCTGATGTTACAGATTAGCATCTAAATATTTAAATTGATTAATTGTTTGATTGAATGTGTATGATCATAAAGAAAAATTAGATGTGCATGTGTATTCACAACTTTACATTATTTAGACATATCAGTTCATTTCATATAATCATTCAGCTTTGTAGAACATAACAGTTTTTTATTTACCTGTTTGTTTGTTTATTTAAGAGAATTCATTAATTTATAATATTATCATTAAAAAGATCCATAATTAAAATTGTAAAAATCGTCTAGCAAAACCTGTAAGCCCGTCTCCAGTATATTGTAATGATATTATATATTGATTGTTTTACCTCAAATTATTATTGATCAAATTTTAATAAATCTTTTATTGACAATGGAAACAATCATGTTTATATAAACTTAAGTTGAGTGTATATTATGGTCTTTTATTAATATTCTTATAGAAAAAAAAAAAAAAAAAAAAAACTTCTACACTTCATTAAAAATAAAATAAATATAAAATATAATTTTTTTGCAAAAGCCTTAATAAGAAGTACTATATCTTAATAACATGATAATCTTTATCTTCAAAATGTTCTACTATGGGTGACTATTTGTAACTTCACTTCTTGCACAATCAAAACTTGATTCAGGATGTTCAAAAGATAAAAATATTTATCTATGGTTTATAAAAAAATCATCTATGCAATGCACATTAGTAAACATGGGCTTGATTTATTTGTGCAATACTTGTGTTTAAACTTAGTGCATTAAAAACTGACTAGTTTTTGCAAGAACTAAATTATATGCAGAAATAATAAATAAAAAAAATGATTTACTGTATAAATGTGGTAAAAAATCACAATAATATCATTACAATATTGTAGCATGTAGAACTAATATACTTTCAACATGTCATTTTGGTTAAATAATCTAAATATTCTTCCTAATTAGATCAAATATTAGAAACAATCACCTCAATTTCTTATTTATCTTTGAGTACAAAAATTAATGTTTTATATAATGTAATAATATATAATCATCAACCCTAAGAACTTTGTAATTCTTTAATATAAATACACATATAAATTTTACATATTCCATAAATAATTATAATTTTTTTTATAAATTATATAATTATTATATTTTTAGACCAATTATTAAAAGAATATAAAATAATAAAAATAGCAGTAATATAAATTTAAAATATCAACTAAGAAATCATAATTAGATTTTTGTTATTGATACTAATCTTTAGCTTTTGTTATTGTAATATGTTCTTAGACATCAATTCTTTGTATGGTATTCTAAAGTAAACCTTATTTGGTGGGAATTTAGAACATTATATAAACATTCTTAATGATAATTTCTAATTCTAATTTCAAATTATTAAAAATATAAATATTTATAATTTTATATAAATTTCTATAAAGTAATTTTTTTTACATTATTTTTTAAAATGTGAGCGAATTTTTGTTTTTTTTTTATTTATTTTTTTCCACAAAAATAATGGTGGTCAACAAACCACTATGTAACTCCAAACCTTAAATTTTAATTGTATCCTAAATTGTATTCCAAATTTTAATTATATTCAAATTTTTAAAATTATATCCTAAATTTTTAAAATTTTTAAAGTCATCCTAAAATGTAAGTGGTTTGTTGACTACCATTTTTAAAATCATCCTTAATGGTGGTCAACAAACCATGCATATTCAAATTTTAATTATATTCCAAGATTTTAATTGTATTCCAAATTTTAAATTATAAACACTAAATCTTGATACTTTGTCAAAGTCAAAGACCATTAAGAGCTATGCTATGCAAAATTGATTTTTATGTATAAATAAAATCTAGATGATATGTATTTGACAACTTACACAATGAATATTAAACTGAATTACATGTAAGACATGCTAGCAATGTAAAAATGAATGTCAAAGAATATGTGTAAGGATTAGCTTTTAAGAATTAGACTAGATATTATTGTTTATTCAAAAAACAATTTGGATAGGCATAAATTTTACAGTAATTTTAAATTTTTTTAATTTAAAGGTATTAAAAGTATATTAGAAGTTGTTTTTTTATTATTAAGAAGGATCTCTAGAAAGATTCTTTAGAATATGTCAAATTAAATTAAAAAAGTTGGAAATTGAGATTCAATGAAAAAATTAATATATACCTTCTATTTGTGTGAAAAATATGTAAAATTTTATTTATAATTTATTTCAAAATTGATTTAAATATAAAATTTTGCAATCAAAAAATAAACATATACTTATATAAACTATCTATTTCATTGTCATAATGTCAACATGTCTATATGCATTTTTTTTGTTTTGTTTGTTTGTTTGTTTGTTTGTTTGTTTTTTTTTTATGCACGTATTATATAAAGAGTTATTTGGAAATTTTAAAAATATCATATTTTCTAAAGTATAGATTTTTTAAAGATTTTAAATATACGATTAAGATTAAAAGAATAGTC